TGAGCCCACCACTTTCTGCCTCCCACCTAGTCCCATACACCACATTCCCCCTCTTACCACAGGCCCCTAGATCAACCCCACTCCACCTTCCAGCTGTCCTTTTTTTCTTTCTTTCTTCCTCCCATGTAGCCCAGTACACCACCCCCACTTACTGCTGACCTTCACCGCACTGCAGCACCTAGAGCAACCCCAGCTCAAGCCCGCAGCCACACCAGGACTGCACTTCCCCTCCCCTCCCACCACTCAAACAGATGCTGAACAGCAAGAAGGAGCCAGTACTACTCCCTGTCCAACACCCCTGCCTATCTGGTGAAGGGCTGTTAATGCTCTGACACTGCTGGACGAATAGTAAAAGGCACACAGCACCTGCACAGTCCACCCTCAGCCACTTCATCAAACCAGTGTACAGTGAAGCAGGCTCACCCTGCCCGCTGCTGCCCTGCTACCGAGACAAAGTAGTTAGAGCCATTGTGCCCACAGACGAACAAGCAGCAAAACACACCTGGTCTGCCCACCCTGATATATCAAAACAAATAAGCAGGATTAGACAAACAAACATACAATCAATAAATAAAGAGAATAATACCTCAATGTCTCAGAGACAGCAGGCACTATCAAAATACAAAAAGCAGGACAAGATGGCTCCAGCAAGTGACTAAAAGAAAGCACTAGATGACCTTCCAGTACAAGAAAAGGCAGTGGAACTACCTGATATGAAATTCAAAAGACTAATATTCAGGGCTCTCCAAGGGACTAGGAAAGAGATCAAGGAAAACATAGACAAAAACAAGGAAAAAATAGACAAAATCATAGAAAACACAGACAAAACCAACAAAAACACAGCCAAAATCAAGGAAAACACAGATAAAGCAAGAGAATTTGGGAAAATAATACAAGAACAAAAAGTCAAAATAAATTAAAAATAGAAACCGTACACAAACAGCAACTAGGAATCCAAAAGATAATCAACAAAATTTTAGAAACAGACAACTCAATAGAAGGTTTTAGAAGCAAATTTGAAACAATGGAGGACAGAATCAGCAATATTGAAGACAAATCTATGGACGCCATATTGAGGAAAAAGCAGAGAAAAAAGAATTAAGAAAAATGAAGAAAATCTAAGAATTATGTGGGATACAATCAAGAGCAAAAATTTGTGTGTAACTGGAGTTCCAGAACAGGGGGAGAAAATGGAAAACACAAAGAAGATCACTGAAGATTTGCTGGCAGAAAATATCCCAAATATCATGAAAGATGAAAAGCTGACCATCCAAGAAGCTGAACAAACCCCACATAGGATAGACCCTGTGATAGTTAAGATTGTGTGTCAACTTGGCTGAGCCATGATTCTCAGTGTTTGTATGTGATCACCCGCATGATGGGAACTGCTGTGAGTAGCCAATCAGTTGAAAAGGAGTTTCCTTGGGCATGTCACCTGCATCCATATATAAGTGGACTTTCTTGCTTTTGCCTTCTCTGGATCCTGCAGCTGCCTCCTGTTCATCTGACCTCCGGTTCTTGGGACTTGAGCTAGCAGCTTACCTGCTGATCTTGGGATTCATCGATATTCACTGCCTGTGAGCAAGAGCCCTGCTCTCTGACCTGCCGATCTTGGGTTCGCCAGCCCCTGCAGATAGGTGAATCAGGAGATGCCTCTATCCTGATCCACAGACTTGGGACTTTCTGGCCTCTACAATCGCATGAGCCATTTCCTTGATATAAATCTATATATATATATATATTTATACATTTTATTGGTTTTGCTTCTGTAGAGAACCCAGCCTAAGACAGACCTCAAAGAGGAAGTCACCAAGACATTTAATAATCACACTTGTCAAAACAAAAGACAAAGAAAGAATCCCAAGAGCAGCTTGAGAAAAATGAAAAGTTACAAAGGGGAAACAATAAAAATGATTACTCGACAGAAACTATGCAGTCAAGAAGGCAATGGGATGACAAACATAAAACTTTGGAAAAAAAAACTGCCAACCAAGAATAATATATCCTGCAAAACTCTCTCTCAAATACGATGGCAAAATTAGGACATTTTCAGATAAACAGAAATTAAGGGAATTCATAAAAATCAAATCAAACTCACAAGGAATATTAAAATGAGTCATTTGATTAGAGAACCAACAACATCAGACACATAGACCACTGGAACAGAATCGAGAACTCAGATGTAAATCCACTCACCTAAGGTCAGCTGATCTTTGACAAAGGCCCAAAGTCCATTTAATGGAAAAAAGACAGTGTTTTTAACAAATGATGCTGGCAAAACTGGATGCCTGTCTATAAAAAAAAAAGAAACAGGATCCATACCTCACACAATACACAAAAATTAATTCAAAATGTATCAAAGACCTAAATATAAAACCTAAAACAATAAAGATCATGGAAGAAAAAATAGGGATAACACAGGGACCCTAATACGTGGCATAAATACAATAGAAACCATAACTAACAATCCACAAATACCAGAAGATAAACTAGATAACTGGGAGCTCCTAAAAATTAAACACTTAAACTCATCAAAAGACTTCATCAAAAGAGTAAAAAGATAACCTATATACAGGGAAAATGTTTTTGGCTACGACATATCCAACAAGGGTCTAATCTCTAAAATCTATAAAACACTTAAGCACCTCAACAACAAAAAGACAACCCAATTAAAAAATCAGCAAAGAATATGAACAGACATTTTACCAAAGAAGACATTCAGGTGGCTAACAGACATATGAGAAAATGCTTGTAATCATTAGCCAATAGAGAAATACAAATCAAAACTACAATGATATACCATCTCACCTGACATTACTGGCACTAATTTAAAAAACAGAAAATAACAAATGTCAGAGAGTTTGTGGGGAGATTGGAGCTCTTATGCACTGCTGGTGGAAATGTAAAATTATAAACCACTATGGAAAATGATACAGGGCTTCCTTAAAAAGCTAGAAATAGAAATACCTTATGATCCAGCAATCCCACTCCTAGGAATATATCCTAGAGAAATAAGAGCTGTCATGGGAATAGACATATGCACACCCATGTTCATTGCAGCATTATTCACAATAACAAAAAGATAGAAACAACCTAAATGTCCATCAACAGATGAGTGGAAAAACAAATTATGGTACATACACACAATGGAACACTACACAACAATGACGAATCATCAAAATATCTCACAACATGGATGAATCTGGAGGGCTTTATGCTGAGTGAAATAAGTCAATCACAAAAGGACAAATACTGTATGAGACTACTATTATAAAAATCCAAGAAAAGGTTTATACGCAGAAAAAAACAGTTTTAGATGGTTATAGGAGGGGAGAGGTGGGGAATGGAAACCACTAACTAGATAGTAGACAAGTTAACTTTGGTGAAAAGAAAGACAATGTACAATATAGGGGAGGGTAACACAACTTGACCAAGGCAAAATCATAGAAGCTTCCTAGACACATCCAAACACCTTGAGGGACCGAGTTACTGGGGCTGAGAGCTGGAGACCATGGTCTTGGGGGACACCTAGGTCAATTGGCATAACAGTTCATAAAGAAAACGTTCTACATCTGGGGTCTTAAAAGCTTGTGAGCAGCCATCTAAGACACATCTATTGGTCCCATCCCATCCAGAGCAAAGGTGAAAGAAGAAAACCAAAGACACAAGGAAAATATTAGTCCAAAGGACTAATGGACCACATGAACCGCAGCCTGCACCAGCCTAGCCCAGAAGAACTAGATGGTGCCTGGCTACCACCTTTGACCACTCTGACAGGGATCACAACAGAAGGTCCTGGACAGAGCAGGAGAAAAATGTAGAACAAAATTCAAATTCACAAAGACCAGACTTACTGGTCTGACAGAGACTGAAGGAACCCCTGAGACTACGGACCCCCAGAAACCGTGCTAACTCAGAACTGAAGCCACTCCTGAATTCCACCTTTCAGCCAAAGATTAGACAGGCCTATAAAAAAAACAACACAGGTGAGCAATGTGCTTCTTAGTTCATCAAGTATAGGAGACCAAATGGGCAACACCTGCCCAACAGCAAAGACAAGAAGGCAGGAAAGGACAGGAAAGCTGGACGAATGGACACAGGGAACCCAGGGTGGAAAGGGAAAGAGGGAGAATGCTGACACATTGAGAGTTGCAGGGATTGCAACCAATGTCACAAAATAATTTGTGTAAAAACTTTTTTAATGAAAAACTAATTTGCGCTACAAACTTCCAACTAAAACACAATAAAATTTTTAAAGAAGATTTTATCATTGATTAATGGAGATAGGAATGTATATAACTATAATATAAGGCAGGAAAAGACAAACTAGAGGGCCACAGACATATGGACCAAAAAAAAAAATCGCTGTCAAGCTGATTCTAAATTGTGTTGACCCTATGGACAATAGAAACCATTAATTTTGAATAGACAACTATCTAAATTTTGAGGAAGTTAGATGAGAAAACTTTTGAGCACCTGGTTGCTTTCCTGTGGACTAAACCATCTAGAGATGGCTATAGACCAACAGTACCCCAAACACAGTCTTGGGCAGGGTAGCAAACGCTACTCGTAAAATATTAATTACTAATTGACCTGATGCTGTATATTATTGTGTGACAGTGACATGTTCACCAAAGCACATTTGGTCAGCTTAGTTAGGGGTCCAGATTATCTTTTTGGTGGCTCCACTAATAAGCATATTGACAAGGCGCTCCGGAGGAGACAGCACCAGACCTAGCTTTGGCAGAAAGATTTACTTTAGACGTGCCCTGTGGTAACTCCTCTGCCCACACCAAAAGATAATCCAAAAAGTACATTATTCATTCTCACTTAGGATTTCGTGAGTATGAAAAAGGATAAGGGACTGAAGACTCCTTAATGACCTTCTTAGAAACAACTAGGAATAGAATAAATTCTGTTCCCAAGGACCTTGAAAAAAGTTTCCCTTGGATAAACCCCAAGAGTTGTGGAGATCAAATGAGTTTGAATACTGTCCTTACCACTTTTGGGAGCTCAAGCCTGCCTTCTTCTGCCTCAGATCTCTTTTATTATTGAAGAATCAAGCACCAACATTCCATAGATCCATATTCCTTCCATTCTGAACCACTAAAAATTGCTATCCTAAAATAAAAAAAAAGAAACCCATTACCATCATGTTAACTCCAATTCATAGTGACCCTGTAGAACAGAGTAGTACTGCTCCACAGGGTTTCCAAGGAGCAGCTGGTGGATTCAAACTGCTGACGTTTTGGTTAGCAGCTGTAGCTCTTAACCAGTGTGCCACCAGGGCTTTGCTACCCTATAGACAAGGTAATAATGGGGCACCTGGTGACTTGAGCCCACTTGCATTAAAATTCTCCTGGGTCAGACCTCCTTCCCAGGAATGACCCTTAAGGAAATTCCATATATATGGGCACATAAATCCAAGTTATTGACCTGGCACTGAATTCCCTTTGCCACCTGCTCTAACTTGATGCCAAGAAGCTCACAAACTGAAAACTCATTAGGGCGTCTCCAGACATCTTTGTTCTGCGTATAAAAGGTGGCAGAGAACATTCTATACTGGCAACCCTTATACCTATCACAACCCCACCCGCTGCAACCATACACAATGAATATCTCAGTAAAATTGTGAGCCAGGAAGCAGCTAGAAATACCTTTCTTGGTAGTCACCTGTGTCTGCCTCATCACCTTGCCTGCTAGATTGCCAGCTCTTCATCTTCCTTATCTTCCACACCCAGCACCTAGCTCAGTGTCTGGCACATAGTAGGTGTTCAACAAATATAACTGAGAAATTATTTCATTCTACTGATTCCCTTACGTGCTCTGTTCCCCCAAATTCAATTTGATTCAACCCCTGTGTTTTCAAACGTAAGTTTATTTGTTCCAAGTCAGTATCACAGACAAGAAATAAAGTTGAAGATGGTGCCAAGTCATAATCAACAGAAAAATTATAGTCAGAAGTCAGTGAAAAGGATTAGACTCACTAGCGTTTGTTGCTGTAATATTGTATGTACCCATCTAATACAGGCCATAGCTCAACAACTTTCGTGTATGTACGAATATTAGTTGACTTTCAAAATAAGAATTCTTTGCTTAAGTCATTAAGCAAACCTAAAATAGCTTGGCATTAGAACTAACTTGATTTCTCTGGTTTAGTATTGATCCCTGAAAATTTCATTACATACTCATTTAGAAGGAATTAAGGATGGAATAAAGAAATTCAGAGAATCAAAGGAGAACGATAACACATCCTACCAGAACCTTTGGGACACAGCAAAAGCAGCGCTCAGAGGTCAGTTTATAGCAATAAATGCACACATTCAAAAAGAAGAAAGGGCCAAAATCAAAACGTTAACCCTACAACTTGAACAAGTAGAAAGACAGCAGAAAAAGAAGACCTCAGGTGCCAGAAAAAAGTAAATACTAAGAATTAGAGCAGAATTAAATGAAATAGAGAATAGAAAAACAATTGGAAGATTTAACAAGACCAAAAGCTGGTTCTTTGAAAAGATCAACGAAATTGATAAACCATTGGTCAAACTGACAAAAGAAAAACAGGAGAAGAAGCAAATAACCCGTATAAGAAATGAAATGGGTGATAGCACAACAGACCCAACTTAAATTAAAAGAATCATAACAGAATACTATGAAAAATTGTACACTAACAAATTTGAAAACCTAGAGGAAATGGACAAATTTCTAGAAACTCACTACCAACCTAAATAACACAAACGGAGGTAGAACAACTAAATAAATCCATAACAAAAGAAGAGATTGAAAAGGTAATTTAAAAAACTCCCAACAAAAAAAAAGCCCTGGCCCGGATGGCTTCACTGGAGAATTCTACAAATTTTCAGAGAAGAGTTAACACCACTACTACTAAAGGTATTTCAGAGCACAGAAAAGGATGGAATACTCCCAAACTCAGTCTATGACGCCTACATAACCCTGATACCAAAACCAGGTAAAGACACCACAAAAAAAGAATATTACACACCAATATCCCTCGTGAACATTGACACAAAAATACTCAACAAAATTCTAGTCGATAGAATTCAGCAACATATCAAAAAAATAATCGACCATGATCAAGTAAGATTTCTACCAGGTATACAGGGATGGTTCAACATTAGAAAAACAATCAGTGTAATCTATCACATTAATAAAACTAAAGACAAGAACCACACGATCTTATCAATCGATGCAGAAAAGGCGTTTGACAAAGTCGAACATCCATTCATGATAAAAACTCTCAACAAAATAGGAATAGAAGGAAATTCCTCAATATAAGGGTATTTATACAAAGCCAAGAGCCAACATCATAGTAAATGGAGAGAGTTTGAAAGCATTCCTCTTGAGAACATGAACCGGACAAGGATGCTATTTACCACCACTCTTGTTCAACATTGTGCTGAAAGTCCTAGCCAGAGCAATTAGGCTAGAAAAAGAAATAAAGTGCATCCAAACTGGTAGGGAGGAAGTCAAAGTATCTCTATTTACAGACGATATGATCTTACACATAGAAAACCCTGAAGAATCCACAAGAAAACTATTGGAACTAACAGAAGATTCCAGCAAAGTATCAGGATACAAGATAAACATGCAAAAATCAGTTGGATTCCTCTACACTAACAAATAGAACTTCAAAAAGGAAATCACCAAATCAATACCATTTACAATAGCCTCAAAGAAGATACAATACTTAGGAATAAATCTAACAAGAGATGTAAAAGACCTATACAATGAAAATTACAAGACACTACTGCAAGAAACCAAAGGAGACCTGCATAAGTGGAAAAACATAGCCTTGCTCATGCATAGGAAGACTCAATATTGTGAAAATGTCAATTCTACCCAAAGCAATCTACAGATACAATGCAATCCCAATCCAAATTCCACCAGCATTTTTTAATGAGATGGAGAAACAAATCACCAACTTCATATGGAAAGGGAAGAGGCCCCAAATAAGTAAAGCATTACTTAAGAAGAAGAACAAAGTGGGAGGCCTCACACCACCTGATTTTAGAACCTACTATACTGCCACAGTAGTCAAAACAGTCTAGTGCTGGTACAACAACAGATACATAGACCAAGGGACCAGAAGTGAGAATCTAGACATAAACTCATCCACCTATGAGCAGCTGATTTTTGACAAAGGCCCAAAGTCCATTAATTGGGGAAAAGACAGTCTCTTTAACAAATGGTGCTGGCATAACTGGATATCC